CGCTTGACAAAAATAAAATAAATAATTAAAAAAATATAAAAAAACAATCAATAACAAGGTTAACTAAATTATCAAAAGTCTCATTTAATCTTCCTTAGCTCAAATAATTTATTAAAATCCCCTCAAATTTTTTTTTATCAAAAAAGTTATTTTAACAAAATACCAAGTATATCCTGAGAAATAACTTTATAACAGAATTTTAAATAATGCAAAATAAATTATTTAGTTGCCATGGTTACTGAGTAAAATGGCAGACATCCAAAAAAGTTTAGGCCAGCCCGGCCATTTTATCTCAGTAACCAAAAACATATAAGATAAGATTTAAAGGCATATGATTAACAACATAGTAATCTGCAAAGTATACTAAAATTGTTCTAAAAAACAAAGTATTTATTAGAGTTTTAAATACTTTATATTATATTATACAGAATTTTTGAAATGGCGTATTTAAAAAAAAATGCAGTTTTATGAACAAATTCTTTTATAAATTAACAGTATTGTAAAACTTTTAGTTCCAATTGTACAACTAGATGCAATAAACTTATGGTGACAATTTTATGCAAATTGTTAGAGACAGAATTATTTATTATGTTTCAGTGATTTTTAGTCATAGGGTACATTAAAAGTATGCATTTTTCTAATCCTGAAAAACCTTGACCACATGCACGCGTTGAATAAACTATTCTGTTATTTACATCAAAAGTTTCCCACAACATGTCTATAAAGCATAAAATTGAATCTTTTCATTACAGTTAGTGTACATTGAGCTGAATCCGTTTTTTTTTTTTTCGGGAAAACATTTTGAAAAATTTATTTTTGATTGTGAAAATTTTTTTAAAACATAGTTGTATAATTACATTTCAGTATCAACAATTCGAAAACTTACAGTTTTGTTTTTATTAGGCTGAGTTGTCTAAATTATCTCAATTTTTTTTGAAGATTTAGATAAATTTAAAGAACTGTTACAATAAATATCGTCATTTTCATAACTAATTTTTTGGATTTTTTACTTTGATTACCTAGTTTGATTTTATATGATTTATCTATTGTTAAAAAAGTTAATGAAACAACAAAAAACATAAAAAAAACAGCTTGCA